ACTTCCTTAAAGGACTCCAGACATTAGACAAATATCAGTCTATGTTTTATTTTTAATATTAGGGAAAAGACACACATTCATGCGTGACAAAAAAAATTGGAGGCAAAATATATTTTTTGTAATTCTGTTAATTACACTGCGCAAATCAGATGAGGAAGGGTTGGCTCTGCAGTCTCCATAGAACTTAAAATATTCATTTTATTTTAGTTTTCGTGTTCGCATTTATGAGGAAAAAACAATGTTACAGACGTGACCGCACTGAACTGGCACTAAAAGACTGCTTTAAAACTTTGACATAGTCTGTTGCCTTTAAGAAGTAAAAGCAGACAATACACTGTAATACAACTGTAATACAAGCCTCACTGAACATGTAACGAGTAAAATATTACTGAAAATTGATTAGTAATGCCTTACACTACTGTGTTACAGCAAAAAGTAATATGTTACTGTAATGTATTACTTTTGTAATGCGTTACTCCCAACACTGCAGAACACACACGCACACACACGTAGAAGTGTTGATATTTTACCAGAGATGAACAGAAATAGATTACCTGTTACTGACACTTATGAACTCCTAACTAATGAATTGCAGTTTATATTCTGCATGTCACTGTTCAGGACTTTGAGAACACACAGACCTCGTTTTTCTGTGCTGCATGTCCAGGTAGCACGTCTGACACACACACAGCCACTCTCTCACATGATCAAACATGACTTTGAAGGAATAGTTCATCCAAGAACTGATCTATTTTTAATAACTAACATGTTTAATGCACATATAGACTGCATTTCTTGTTTGTTTCTAGATGGTTTACTATCTCAGACAAAGAACCATGGTTTGTTTCCAGATATTCTCTCTCTTTCCTCATTGTCCCCCTCAGTGCATCATGCAATCCTATACTACCAGGGGCTACAGGTATGTGTGTGTGTGTGTGTGTGTGTGTGTGTGTGTGTGTGTGTGTGTGTGTGTGTGTGTGTGTGTGCGTGTGTGTGCGTGTGTGTGTGTGCGTGTGTGTGCGTGTGTGTGTGTGTGTGTGTGTGTGTGTGTGTGTGTGTGTGTGTGTGTGTTTAAATGCTGCGTCATATGCGTCTTCTGGTTATTTTGCTATTTTTTCCTCATTTTTACTTGTTTGTATAGGGCTGTTGTAGTTTGCTGTAATTCAATAGCCTTTTCTGTTCTAATTAAATTACACATCTATATATTACAGAACACAGGAACAGATGTTACAGAGCTGTGACCTTAAATGACCTCGCTTCATGAACAGCGGATACATGAACCTGCAAACCTGAAAGAACCCTTCAACACTGGGGTTTAGATGAGACACTTCTAGACAAAACAAGAAAGGAGAAGAACTTCCTATTTTGATTTAATGGTTTGGAGCAACTGTTTGCATTCATCTGGATTCAAGGTGACATGTGGCAACAGCTGTTGAACATGAAATTATATCAAGAGATTTTATATGGTTTATTTTTTCATTTTTTCTTCTTTAAGGTTAGACTGCTGTTTGAAATAGTTAAAAACAAAATGCTGAAATATATAATTTATAATTGTCCTCAAAACTTTATGTACTGCATGGTGGTGCATCTGTAATCTCCCAGATTCTTATTAACATATGTTTTTTTATGTTAGAGACCAATTTGGTTTGTAGACAGTAAAATAAATCAAATATTTTTAGAAGAACATGTAGAAACACGAATAGTATGGGAAATAAAGATCTAAATAATTATTACCACTCCAGACAATACACCAGGGTGTCTGACAACAACTAAACTCCACCAGCTTATTACAATTCAGTTAATATATGTAGAGTTCACTCAAGTGTGTTGTGGTAATGTTCTTCTTGTACCCCAGTGAACTGAACCATAAATGTCATTAGCAGAGACTTTGTTCTCAGGCCAGGTACTGGGGAGAGGCCACATTAATATTTAATGCGGCTCATCGCTCACACGTTTACTGGGGACATATAAGCAGTGTTGGGAGTAACGCATTACAAAAGTAATACATTACAGTAACATATTACTTTTTGCTGTAACACAGTAGTGTAAGGCATTACTAATCAATTTTCAGTAATATTTTACTCGTTACATGTTCAGTGAGGCTTGTATTACAGTTGTATTACAGTGTATTGTCTGCTTTTACTTCTTAAAGGCAACAGACTATGTGAAAGTTTTAAAGCAGTCTTTTAGTGCCAGTTCAGAGCGGTCGCGTCTGTAACATTGTTTTTTCCTCATAAATGCAAACACGAAAACTAAAATAAAATGAATATTTTAAGTTCTATGGAGACTGCAGAGCCAACCCTTCCTCATCTGATTTGCGCAGTGTAATTAACAGAATTACAAAAAATATATTTTGCCTCCAATTTTTTTGTCACGCATGAATGTGTGTCTTTTCCCTAATATTAAAAATAAAACATAGACTGATATTTGTCTAATGTCTGGAGTGCTTTAAGGAAGTAGCCTATATAAGTTTCAATACATGTATTTTCTGAGGCTTCTGTAGGTTTCGTGGATCTGAGTCGTGTGGAGAATCGCGATTTCGGTTTCATATTGCATATCGTTACAGCCCCAAAGTTAAGTTCTACTTAGTTATTTTGGTGAAAGTAACTCAAAAGTAATACATGAGTAATGTAACGCATTACAATTCTGAGACAGTAATATTGTAAGGTAATGAATTACTTTTAAATAACAGTAACAAGTAATACCTAATGTATTACAGTTTGGAAGTAACTTGCACAACACTGCATATAAGCTTATATTATATAAATCTAATCATAATCACTACAGACTAACCCTAATCCTAAAACAGAAAATCTTCAGAAAATCTTAGTATTTTTAGGATTTCTGGTTTAATAAAATAAATTTGTATTACAATTGTGGACGTCCCAAAATTTTGTCTAGTCAGTATTAGTTCACTTTTGTCTCCAAACTTGGTAATGTACTGTATACACATCAAGTTGAAAGAACACCTATTACATGATTACATATTTACAATTTCATATACAAGTATGTATATTCTCAAATAAAGATAAGAAATGTCTCTACTTCACCAGATCAAAACTCGTCAGAGATCTTGAGGCAGGACAAAGATGTGTTTCAAAGATAGCGTTAACAATTTCAAATTCAAATGCAAACCAATTGTTTTGGCAGAATGAAATGAATGTATAGTGTTTTCTATCTAATCAGACTGAGATAAGGTGGCGTCTATCTTTAGTGTGAAAGTGTCCAACATTGAACCCCCCCCCTGTGTTTTTGGGACTTTGCACCCCATATGAACACATTAGAAGTCTGTCAGTAAGTGTGTGAATGGATCAGACTGCTATCGGAAAGGGCAGGATACACATTAACACAACCTGTGATAGAAGAGAAGAGCCAGGGAAGTTAAGCTATCCATTGCTGTCCAAAACTTCACTGCGCAACCAGACCTGAAGACCTCTCACTGGAGAACATTAAGGATTACATTTTCATTGTGAGGACATGCTTTTGGGATCTATACACTGGAGGTGATCTGAACAGTGAGTGTGAGGAGAGAAATTTAGTAAAGGTTCACATTCACGTCTGGAATAGAGAATTGAATATTCAATTGAGTTTTCCGAAATGGAAAAAGAGATGAAAGACACAGAGCTCAGGAAGAGGGTACCATATCACATTCACAGAGATGTACTGGACGAGCTCAGTGTCGACCAAGTTGCTGACAAATCAGATGTCAAGATTTCATCAAAAGAAAAACTCAAAGATGCTGTCAGGTGCGTATGTCTGTCTTAGTGCTGAGCTTAAATTACTAATATACTTGTGAAAACGCTTCTTTCGCATTCTTTCCATTACAGTTTGTATTTGCAACATTAAGAATGATCATGTTTAGTATGATTTGAGAATGTTTCAATGGAAGCAACAACATCTTGGAGAAGTCTCCAACTTTTAAACCCCACTTCTAAGTTGCTTTTATAACTGTTCTATTTTCTTTTTTTGTCAGATGTACAGGCCCACGGTTTAAGAGTTGTTTCCTATCCTTTGTTCCTCTCCTGGCATGGCTGCCGCGATACCCATTTCGAGAAAATGTTATTGGAGATCTGATATCAGGAATTAGTGTGGGAATCATGCACCTGCCACAAGGTCCAACACAAGCACGTGCAAAGCACACCTGTTACTTGAGATACTGTAGACCTAAACAAAAACACAAACAATCATATGTCACGTGTAATGTATTTTGTGTGTGTAGGTATGGCATATGCGTTGCTGGCTGCTGTCCCTCCTGTTTTTGGTCTCTATTCCTCCTTTTACCCCATTCTCATTTATTTCATATTTGGAACATCCAAACACATCTCTGTGGGTAAGAACACACACTTTCATTGATTTAATTTGTTCTTGAAGGGATAGTTCACCCAAAAATGATAATTCTGTCATAATTTGCTCACTCTCCTGCATGACTGACTTTCTTCAGTGGAATACAAAAGAAGAAATTTTGAAGAATTTTGGTTACTGTTTTGGTTCCCATTGACTTCCATTGTAATCACAAAAACACTAGGGGATTCAATGGAACTGGAACTATTTGGTTACCAATATTCGTCAAGCTATCTTCTTTTGTGTTCCACGGACAAAAGAAAATCATACATGTTTGGAACGACATGAGGGCGAGCAAATGATGACGGAATTCTTATTTTTGGGTGAACTATTCATAAATCATTACAAGCATGATGTCATTAGGATCATATTAACAAGTTCTTACAGGGATAGTTCACATAAAAATGAAAATTCTGTTATCATTTACTCACCCTCAAGTTGTTCAAACCAGTATGAATTTTTTTCCTCTGCTGAACACAAAAGCAGATATTTCCGATATTTATAAGAAAGAATATCGGTAACCAAACATTTGATGGACCCCTTTAACCTCCACAATGTGGCGACAAAATGCTATGGAGGTCCATCAACAGTTTTGTTACTGACATTTTTTTCAAAATACCTTCTTATGTCCAAAATATCATCTTGTGTCTAAATATCCATAGCTCATTAGATATTGTTGTATGGACTACAATTATGTTTATAATTGCACCATAACTATAATAGGTATGGTGCTTCTAGTGCCTTTTTTTTAGTGATTGACAGCCTTTTGTCACAGTTCATCTTGTTGATTAAGGATGAGTGAGAATATAATGATAGATTTAAAATTTTTCAATTCCATCTAGACATTTGATCCCCACAAACAGAGAAATATTAGAAAGTGTGGGTAATATTTGCTGTCTACAGGTACATATGCAGTTATGAGCGTTATGATTGGCAGCGTGACAGAGCGTTTGGCGCCAGACTCGGACTTCATGATGCCAGGCAATGACACCAACATCACCATCTTAGACACTGTCGGCCGTGATGCGGAGAGGGTCAAAATTGCTGCCACTGTGACTTTCTTATCTGGCATTTTCCAGGTAGGTTCTCTTGAGAATGGAATTTGATTGTAGCTTTGAAGGTGTGAATGTGATTAAGTATTTGTGTGCGGTCTGTGTTTGTAGTTGCTCCTCGGTCTGGTTCGGTTCGGTTTTGTGGTGACGTATCTGTCAGAGCCATTGGTGAGAGCTTACACAACAGCAGCCGCCATCCACGTTATCGTCTCCCAGCTGAAATATTCCTTCGGCATCAACCCACAGCGGTACAGCGGACCTTTGTCTCTTATATATGTGAGTATTAACACATGCAATATGTATAACAATAAATGCCATGTGATTAATTGTTCTGGAGCATCAATTCTCATTGACTGATGTCATGGTGGCACAGTCCCAAACACTTCATTGAGGACTATGGTGAACTGGGACATATAAGGCCTTAGACATCACACTTCTCCAGTAGCACCTCATTGCAGTACACAACATCCAGGGGGCGGAGTTGGATCCAGATCTAAAGGGTGGAGATGGGTGGGATTAGGGGTGGGGTTAGGGATCAGGGGGCGGAGATGGGTAGGTTTAGGTATATGTAAAGTGGGATCCAACTCCTCCCCCTGGATTTTGTATTCTGCAGTGAGGACCATCTCCACTTGTGCAATTTGTGTTTAGTGCCCCCTAGTGGTTGGAGTCATGACTTATGCTCTGAAAGCTATGATGAGGATGATTTAATACTTCTTTCACTATTTTTCTTTCTCTCTCCAGACAGTCATAGAGATTTGTGCATTGCTTGGAAAGACTAACGTTGGTACTCTGGTAGTTAGCATTGTAACCATTATTGGCCTGATCTGTGCAAAGCAACTTAGTGCTTTGGCAGCACGCAAAATTCCTGTCCCTATTCCTGTTGAGCTGATCACTGTGAGTTACTTCATACAGTTTAACACACACATGTACACACACATTTACTTTACTTTTACAGCGAATTGAGGACAGAGACTTGCACTTTTTTGATAAAAGACAATAATACAATAATATAATGCATTAATCAACAATGATCTATACATTTATTACAGTATAGTTTTTTGTGAACATTAGTTGATAAAATACAACTGTTCATTGTTAGTTCATGTTTGATATATTAAATAATATTAGCAGATGAAACTAGTCCATTATACTTTGCAATTTGCATTATTAAGAAATGCTTTAGAAGTACTTTTATCGTAAGTTCATATTGATGTAGATAACAAATGGAACCTTAATGTAAAGTGTTAGCAGATAAATATAGTACCTGTTAAAAGTTATGCTCACTAAGGGTGCACTTATTTAATCACAACTGCAATGAGAACAGCAACATTGTGAAATATTATTACACGGTAAAGTTATTGTTTTCTATTTTAATTAATTTATAAATGTAGTTTATTACTGTGATAGCAAATCTGAATTTACAGCATCATTACTCCAGTCTTCAGTGACACATAAAAAAGTTTTAATTGTTTTAAATAAAAAATGTAAAAAAAAAAAAAAGTTTTAATTTTTTTAAATAAAATTTAGCAGTTTTACTGTTTTTCCTGTATTTTGTATTTTATATATATTTTTATTTTTTATTAAATAAATGCAACCTTGGTGACAGACTTCTTTCAAAAACATTAAAAAAAATTAATGTTTCCGAACTTTTGACAGGTACTGTATATATACTTTTGACTAATATAACATAATATTATATATAGCCTTTCATTCAAAAATTGTATTCTATCAAAAATAGAAGTGGTACATTTCTTTGAGGGTATCTTAAAGATTTAATCTTGTTTGTATATAGATTATTATCGCTACTGTGGTGTCATGGCAGATGGATTTGAAGACAGAATACAATGTTGAAGTGGTTGGACAAATTCCATCTGGGTACGTCCAACACACTACTATGCAACACAAATATGACTGTACAACACTCTAAGGATCTTTATAGCATTGTTATGGTACAGCCACAAAAGCATGTTCAGAACCATAGTACATCTTTATGTTCATAATACTCATCTACCTCTTCTTCACACTTCAGTCTGCAGGCTCCTGTGGCACCCGCTGTTTCACTGATGAGTTCAATGGTCGGTGATGCTTTTGCACTGGCTGTTGTTGGTTATGGCATTGCTATCTCACTGGGTAGAATTTTTGCCCTTAAATATGCTTACAAAGTCGACAGTAACCAGGTAAGAGACTCTAAATGGCTATAAAAGATGTATTTTTTTAGTATATATATATATATATATATATATAATTATTATTATTATTTATTTTAATTTTTACAAAACACATTATTTTTTTTATTAGTACTGTACATTTGAACTTTATATTTATCAAATAATCCTGAAAAAAATAGGCAGCACTGTAGCCACTGAAGACTGGTGTAATGGCTAATATCTTTTTTTCTTTTCTTTTTTCACTTTTCATGTCAAATTTAGTGTCAACAACAGCATAGTAAAACTGCCAGCCTGGAAAATATGGTTTTAAGTGATATATTTAAGGTTTTTGGATGTTATCTCAGTACAAACACAAATAAACAAACAGGGAGAATTTAGCAAAGAGAGAGGTCAGTAACTGATTGATTCTCAAAATGCAGAATTTGTACTCTGTTAGAGAAAAGCTGTTCCTTGAAAAACAGGAAAAGGGGTCACATACAAAAATGGGAGTTGCTTTTTATTTTAAGGTGTTATTGTTACAGGGAAATCATACAGTTAAGTACTGAGCAATGTTAATTTAACAACATGTACTTAGGTTAAGATTAGGATTGGGTTTAGAGTTAGTTGCATGCAATTATGCATAATTTGCTGTTATTATTATAATAGTAATGTGTAACAAGGACTGTAAAAAAAAAAAAAAAAAAGAAGAAAAAAAAAAAGAAAAGTATTACCAAACTGGCATTACACCATATTTTCCTGGAACTTTAGTTAAACCCAATTTTATCTGAAAAACTGGCAGTTTGTGTCTCTTGTTTTTTCGCTAAGCCGAAAGTCATTGATTCAACCCACAATTGTTTTGCACACAATTCCAAAAGTTTCGTTTGAACATCTTTACTACTTGTAATGTGTTCTTCACTTGGATCAGGAGCTCATAGCTTTGGGTCTGTCTAACTCCATCGGAGGCTTGTTCAAGTGCTTTGCTATCAGCTGCTCTATGTCTCGTACCATGGTGCAGGTCAGCACAGGGGGGAAGTCACAGGTGAGAACATTAACAAAATAAAAACTGACATTTCCTTTTACACCTATCTCTTCCTAACTTGTTTCTGAATAGATGGATGGACCCTTGTGGAAAAAAGTGCACTTAATTTAATGTGTTGATAACACAAAAGAATAAGTAAACCTGATTATAATTTTAACTGTAGTGTCGTTTATTATTACATTTAAAGTTATTATTTTTAAATACTCAAAACTTCAGCTTCATCATTAAAATGTGTAATTACAAATATGTTAAATACATGACACAAGTTTACTTAAGTGTCAAAAAACAACTTACACTGTAAAAAAAATGTTTTCATGATTTGTAATCACAATATTTTTTCTTTTGTCAAATCAACTAATTTATGTAGTTCAGATTACATAATATTTTGAGTTTCTGATGCTTAAATCAATCTCCTTCATTAACTCAAATATTCCAGTTCAATGAACTTAAAATTTTAAGGCAACCAGGTTACTTCATTTTTTTAAGTTAAACCAACAATATTTTTTTACAGTGATAATTTATTTTAATTGCATTAAACATGCAATCAAGTGTCCAAAATGTTTTCTATGTAATTGGTATACTTTTTAAAGCTAGACTCTAAAAAATGATGTTCATGATTTGTTGAAAAGAAATCTTATGTGGTTCAGATAACATAATATTTTTATTTTCTATTTATTATTTTCTATTTATCTCCATTGTATTAACTCAAATTTTTTAAGTTAAACCAACAATTATTGTTTACAGTGTACGGTAAAGTGTACTTCTTTTTCACAAGGGGATGGTTCATTCAATCGATATTTGAATTCTATTTTGTAGAGTAAAAGTTGTAGAGTGAATCCTCTCTCCGTCAAACTTTCAGGTGGCTGGAGCAGTTTCTGCTATGGTAATTCTGGTGATCTTGTTAAAGATTGGAGAACTCTTTGAAGAGCTGCCAAAGGTTAGTACCCTATATTTCAGCTCTTGTGTGGGCCTATCATGAATATTCAAAGTATAAAATTTCTGGGCTGCAGTCATGAACAATGACTAGATGTGTCCAATTACATAGGAATATATCAATACAAATTGTTGATGTGTTTGCTGGTTTCTTTAGGCAGTGCTGGCTGCTATAATCTACGTAAACCTGCAAGGCATGATGAAGCAGTTTGGAGACATCTGCTCTCTCTGGAGGACCAATAAAGTGGATATGGTGAGAGAGAACGAGGAGGAGAAAGCCAAGCTTATGCAACACATTCAAAATAGACCTATATTTAAACAAAATAAGACTGCGGGCAAAAGAGAGTGAATAGAGTGACAGAAAGAATGGAGTAAAAAAGAGAGATCTGAATTGACGGTTACATTATTGTGTCTATTGCTTGTTTGTTTAGGTGGTGTGGGTGATGACTTTGATCTTGACAGTGTTGTTCAATCCTGATTTGGGACTGGCTGCATCTATCGCCTTCTCCATCCTCACCGTCGTCTTCAGAACTCAGCTGTGAGTGACAGAAACCACATAGACAAAGCCTAAATAATTCACAAATGCACCATATTCCCATGATCCTAAACCCTAAATAGCCGCGTTTCCACTGCCGGGCCAGGGCCGGGCCGTGCTAGTGCGTGCCAGGGCCAGTCGCGTTTCCACTGTCACTTCCGGGGCTTGATCGGGGCTTCCTCAGGGCCAACGGCCAGGATTTCTGGCCCGTCGAATACCTTGGGCCAGAGGGGGCCAGCTCGGGCTAGAGGCGTGCTCAAGGTAAAAGGCGGAGTTTATCGGTGTTATGGAACGTTATGATCTGAAGCAAAATGCACATAGGGGTGTCCATGTTTAACCGATTAACCGTTTAAAATTGCATAACAGTTTAATTTGACCTGTAGGCCTATGCCAAATGCTGCGCAAAAATATGCTATATATAGGCTACATATCGACGAATTTTCAGATATTTGTTAGATTTTTTGCCCTCTAAACATTTAAAATATTTGACAATTTAATATAATATATATATATATATTTTACTGGTTTTCTGAGGCCAAATTAGAACCTGGAAATGATATTTTCCCTGCAGTGCTGAATGAGAAGAGCCGTAACCACAGCCTACAGAAAGGGGATTATAGGTGATTTATAGGCTATAATAAATGTGTCTGATAATAAAATAATATAAAATAACGAGGCATTAATTGTTTATTAATAAACTAGCCTATTGTTTTCTAAATGATTTTCGGCTAAAAACATCTCCATCTCCGGATGCACATTTAGAGAGAAATTAATTAGCTACATAATTACATAGTCAGAAAGATATTGGCTTTCGATTCGAATTTGTTCGTTTTAAATTGGACATTTAAAGCTGTAGCTAATCTACAAAGGATATAACCCCTGTAGACTAAAGCTTTAAATGTCCAATTTAAAACGAACAAATTCGAATGCGGCTGTTTCAGGTCTCGCGCTTCAGTTCACGGAGATCATGAAGCGCGCCTTGATTAATTGTTAAAGCACAACGTTGTAATGTTATTGTGAGTTTACGCAAATACATGTATTTGCGAATAATGTATTATTATTTTCTGTATGACCAGAAATGAAAGAGTATTTTAAGTTGTTTCCAATGAAAGAAATGCAATGAAACTGCAAGTGTTCACATGGGCGTCTCGCAGCCATCAGTGCGTGCTCCACACACACTGGATATGCGCTGATATGCGTCAAAAATATTGTTTATTTGTGCTCTGTTCCTTTTTTGGATAAAGGCGTCTTCTACATATGCAGCCTAATAAAATGTTACAATAATGATGATGATGATGGTTATTGTTATTATTATTATTATTATTTGCAGACACGGAGTTTTTGTGAAATGGACGTTTTGCTTATTTTCAATTGGCAATTTCAGTTTGAAGGGTGATGGAAATGCGGCTTTAACTGCTCCGTACTTGCTGCGTTTTATTTCTATAAATTAATTTCGTTTCAAATGGGGTCCAATCAGTTATTAAAGGTGTTAAAAAAATAACTCTGTATCTCGAGGTTGCGGCGTTTGTTAATAGGCTGCGGCGGTTCCGCAGCCTGTTATATCGCGCAAAAAATCGCTGCTTGAAATGGAGAATCGCCTGTACTGGTCTCGTGACACTATTGCAGCCACTACGGCAGGTGAGTTAATACACATGCTATCTTCCTAATTAAAAAAATTAATTAATTCATAATACCCGCTGAAATGGGTTGGGTTTTATGACGTTTGATCCAGAAAGGCGTGTTAGGGGTGGGGTCTGGGGCAGCGCTGTGGGGCTACTGGCCCGGCAGTGGAAACGCAAGCCCGGTGCTTGAGGCCCGAGGCCACTAGCTCGGCTCGGCTCGCTGTTAGCTCTGGCCCAGCCCTAGCCCGGCAGTGGAAACGCGGCTAATGACTAAACTACAGCACACACATGTGCACCATTTGAATGATTAAATGAGAATGTAAAACTGGTTATCTTCTGGTAGTCTCCTGTTTCACTTTACACTGTTGAAGATCCCAAGAGAAGCTTTTTCGAACGTCATATTTTGTTTCCTTAGCTTGGCCATATAATGAACGTCCTGTTCTTGACAGCATTTGCTTATAAACTCTCCATCTGTCCCTCTTTGTTTTGTTTGCTTTCTTTTCCTTCAATACCCGTTTCTTCTCCTTACAACAGCCCGAAATACTCTCTCCTTGGCCAGGTTCCTGGCACTGACATCTACAGACCAGTAGAGGACTACAATCAGGTGAACATGACCATGACATCACCAACCACAACTTCATTCCAAATCACTTCAACTGATTCTTTAGTTTTGATGTTGTTATATTTGAAACAGCAGAGGTGTTGTTGCACAATTGTCAAATGGTTAAGCTGGATTAAGGGCATAGTTCATCCTAAAATTTCTGTTCTCATGAAACTGCCTGGCACTCATGGTTAAAAAAGAAAACCTGAATTTCAGCATACTTTCTGAAACACCTGCTCTTCCATTTATACATATCTGATAAATCAATGACGTGTGACTTCGCAAGAACATGACGCACAGTAATAGTTTGGCTTGTTGTAGTTGCATTGTTTTAGTTTCTTAACAAGGAAGCGTTTGAATGTGTGGGTGTTGCAGTTTCATTTGTCAATTGTGTAACATGTTGGTGCATACCTAGTGTATGTATGTATAATAAATAGTATTTATAGAGTATCTAAAATGGAGTGTGTGAGTGTTGCAGGTGATCAGGAGTATAAAGTGGTCAGTTTCTTGTAGTGCTAATAAATCTTTATTTTGAAATTCCAATTCCATATCAAATGTAATTGACCACAGGTTACACAGTCTTTGACCTTTAGCAAAACATTTTTTTTTAATTGACAAATATTCAGCCAATAAACAACTATTTCATCAACATCTGCTTCTGTTAAATGATTGGTATTTGTTTTCAGGATTTTCTGTTCTGGAGCTTTAGTCAGAAGGCATTACATTTACTTTGGTTCAGTTGTATTTGCATCCATAAATAATTTTGATAATTTGAGAAAATTATGAAACAATGCTTGACAAAGTTTGCGCATCCAAATCATTTAGAATTTTTTTCACTGTCTGTTTTACTTACAGGTGAAGGAGATTCCCGGTATAATGATTTTCCGTTCATCTGCAACATTGTACTTTGCCAACGCTGAAATGTACATCGATGCACTCTATGACAAGGTAGACATATGCAAACCATACTTCGATTCTCTGATACATATTCATTCACACACATTTACCGTATATAAAGAGTATTTACAAGACTGTAAAAAATGATATGATCTACAATTTATGACAACTTATGTTTTTACATTGCTTTAACTTGTCAAAGTAAGTAAGGGTAATCCAACATAAACATGCACTGTGAGTTTATACCAAACAAGCTACTGTATAAAAAAAAAGTACAGGTCAGGATTTTCATCCTGTAAAAATAAATGTGCGTTGTTGTCCAGACTGGGGTAGACGTGGCTAAACTTCTCTCACACAAGAAAAAATTGGAAGCAAAGAGACTCCGAAAAGAAAAGAAAGCCGCAAAGAAGGCGAAGAAAGAGGCCAAGAAAAAAGCTAAAGAAGCCGCCGTTCAAGCTACTAAGGTCTGCATCTGAAGAGACTGTGTGTTAGCATGTGGGTGTGTGAGATAATATGTGTGTTTGAGTATTCTGACTGAGCCATTCGTCTGCTTTAAACCAGGGGGAAGATGTGCAGTTGTCGGACACAGATGAAAGCGGGGAGGAGCCAGAGTTGTCACACACAGGGGCAAATGGGGATGTTCATGAGATGTCATTCAAAGAGCCTAAGGATGTAGTAACTGTGGAGGCGGGGCCTGACTCTGACACTGACACTACGCTCCCACAGGCCATCATTCTTGACCTGAGCCCAGTCAACTTCCTGGATACAGTTGCCGTGAAAACTATACGCAGTGTGAGACACGATCTGTACTTAATGAGTACAAAACGACTTAATCAATGTGTAATGTGTTTTAACCCTGTTGAAACTCTTTGTTTAATGGCAGATCTATAAAGATTATGGAGAGGCTGGTGTGCAGGTGTACTTATGTGGCTGCCAGAGTGAGTGATTTCAAAGGGTTATTTTTGCAATGATTTTATAGAAGAACCATTTTGGGTTCCCCAAACAATCTTTTAGTGCATCCATTTTTTCTTTTTGTGAAAACATCATAATCTTGTTCAATGGAAAGGTTTCATGGATGTTAAATGGTTAGTTCACCCAAAAATTAAAATTAGGTCATTAATGACTCCCCCCCTCATGTCGTTCCAAGCCCGTAAGACTTACGTTCATCTTCGGAACACAGTTTAAGATATTTTAGATTTAGTCCGAGAGTTTTCTGTCCCTCTATTGAAAATGTATGTCCAGAAAGGAAATAAAGACATCATCAAAGTAGTCCATGTGACACCAGTGGGTTCGTTAGAATGTTTTTGAAGCAGCAAAAATACATTTTGGTCCAAAAATAACAAAAACTACGACTTTATTCAGCATTGTATTGTCTTCTGGTTCTGTTCCACGTTCAGTGGTGCTGATGATGTAAGACGCTGCTGACGTGTTATTGGTGCGCCCGAGGTTAGCTTACATTCTGAGGGAGACGCACGCTGTAAACAAAAAATTCTTCGCAAACATGTCTAAGGATTTCGACACTGTGGAAGATTTGCATTTTTTTGCCCAGCCATATTTATTTGAACCCGAATACATGGACGCACCGGATACATGTCAGCAGTGTCTTACGTCATCAGCGTCACTGAACGCGGATTGACAACAGAACCGGAAGACAATACAATGCTGAATAAAGTCATAATTTTTGTTATTTTTGGACCAAAATGTATTTTCGATGCTTCAAAAAATTCTAACCCACTGATGTCACATGGACTACTTTGATGATGTCTTTATTTACTTTCTGGACAAGGACAGTATACCGTAGTTTTCAATGGAGGGACAGAAAGCTCTCGGACCAAATCTAAATTATCTTAAACTATGTTCCGAAGATGAACGGAGGTCTTACGGAGGACCTGAACACTGAGCATGCATGTCAAGATTGTCATCACTGATTGTAATCTCTCTCCCTCTTTCAGGAGGCGTTGTAGAGAGTATGGAGAATGGTGATTTCTTCAATGAGAAACTAACTAAATCGATTCTCTTCTCATCGGTACATGATGCCGTTCTTTATTGCCAGCAAGAAAACAGCGAGGAGGTACAGTACATCCTTATCTCACACACACATACACAAATGTCAGAGGTTCTAATCGTAATCAGACATGTGCTGAGTGTTGGTGGCCCAGACAGTATTTAGAAATAAACATGCATGAATAAACTTAATTTCTTGCCTTTCTTCTTTTATAGGTTTTGCAGGGAACACATTTGTAAATCCAAACACCAAACATCATATGGAAAACACCCCAGAACACAATTGTTATTTACACAAATAGTATTTGTTATTGGATTGTTATTTATTGTGTATTTCATCTTGGGGAAGAAAAAAAAGTAAAGGAGATGTTTTGATGATAATTTGTTTTTAAAAAATAATAATCACTTTTTAATGTGAAATGTCTAAGAATGTGAGAATCTGTCATTGAGTTGTATTGTACAAGTAACATGTAAATCAACTTTTGTAATGGAAAAAAAACAAAACAAAGCAATTCTTGACAGGCTATTCCGGGTCATGGCACTGTAGAGTTCCAGGTACATTTATGACACTGAAATACTTGAATGTAAACTAAGTTTCTCACAAAATAATTACTGGAAAGTTTTAATATAAATTATACAATATTTTAGCAATTATATTACAGTTTAAATGCTTGGCGTCAGTAAAATATCAGTCAATATTTCATTTTTAAATAAATGCTGTTCTTTTGAACTTTCAGTATTAATCAAAGAATTTAGGAGACTGAAGAAATGATGCTGAAAATTCAGCTTGGCCATCACAGGAATAAAGTTATTTTTAAGTGTAATAATATTTCACAATATTACAGCATTTTTGATCAAAGACATGCAACTTTGGAAGAAAATGATTTCAAATACATATAAAAATATATATAAATTTACTGACCCCAAAATTTTGATCAAACTTTTGGCCTATTGTAATTACCATATAAAATTCAGTTTATCTATTTTAGTGTGTATAAGCTATGTATGCTATATATGTGTTAACTTTTTGTATGCATGTGTATTTAGAATCAGTGTAACTTAAATAAACAGTCATTTTCTTACTTTTCTGGTGAAATTGTTAGTCAATTATATCTGCTGTGTTATACTATCAGTAATTTTGGTTCTGACTAAAGAATTCAACAAACATTTCTAAACAAGAAATTGTTATCATGTATGAAGACACATTCAGAGAGTTCAAAAATGGTGTGTTTATGTAAATGTATAGGTCTTCCTAAACAAGTTTAAGAGAAACTGGTCAGAACATTCCAGCATTTGCCCAAAACTGACAGGTCATGTGGAACCTGCCCAACCAGCAGCAGCGCATTGTTTCAAGAGTAAACCTTTATTGTGGCCAATGAACAAGCGGAGTGAAATGGACTTGGACAAAAAGGTGAAGAAAGAATAGGCCTATGTGTTATATATTGATCACGACATCAAGTCTTGTAAAAAACAACAACAACAACAACAACAACAACAAAACTGTAGTACAATAAGTGAACAATCTCATATTTTAATCTTAGCTCTTATTGAAAGACAGTTGACACCCAGATTAATAAGTATAATCTAGTAACAACGAACGAAAGAAAAAGCGTGAGAGAGAGAGAGAGAAAGAGAGAGAGAGAGAGAGAGAGAGAGAGAGAGAGAGAGAGAGAGAGAGAGAGAGAGAGAGAGAGAGAGAGAGAGAGAGTTTCTGTGCGTGTGTTTCTGTGTGTGTGTTGGCGGGTTCTCACACAGCTCCCCTTTCCTTCTTTCTCCTCCCATCAGGCGGCCGCTCAGCATCTGTGGTGTGTGCGGATCAGAGTTAGAGTAGCCTAGAGCCCAGTGCGAGAAACAGCAGCAGAGCGCCGCTGTCAACCATCGGCTCCGGTATAACCGGACCACTGACTGGAAAAGTTGACTTGATTTCTGTCTCCAGCATTCCGTCTGTAGCAGGTTCAGGTAAGTGCCTGGTTGGATTTGTTATTTGATATCTAGTAAATGTTTATATTAAATAGCTAGACATGGGGGAGTCACCTTTGCCAATATAGGCCAAGACTTGATCAGAGCCGCTTTATTCACGCGAATTCATAATTCCTTAAACCATCTGTGATTAGGGATTGAAAACATGTTGTTTTATATCATCCAATTGTTTCCAAGCTTAAATGTATGATCAATTATATTTTTTTTATGTATACAGTAGGCTATAACAAAAAAAAAGAAAAAAAAAGAAAAAGAAATTGGCTCCACTTAAAAAGTATAGGCTAGCAGCTTGACGATAATCAAATAGGCATATATTATTATATTATTATTAGTATAGCCTATATGGTAACATTTTACGGATATTTAAAATCAGTCTGTGGAACATTTGTAAAAAAAGAAAGAAACAAAAAGTCAATTTAGATGGCAAATGGATTTGCAAATAGCCTAAAGGCATTCATAATTCATATGAACTGTTATCATATAGCCTCTAAATCGGTTTGGTGACATTTTTACAGATATTTTCATACATTTTGAACTTAGTAGGCTATTGAGACAAAAGATGAGCTGTGAAAATAAAAAGTCCATTAATGGCAAACATGTAAATATAACGACATTAATAATTAAATAGCTAGGCTATTATTAATAATAGAATATTCACAACGTAATGTTTGTGTCACTGCACAGTTTTAGCATTATTCTGTCAAATTAATAGGCTAATAGGTTATGCATGATTAGCTATAGCCTATGTAAACAGTTAACAATTTTCTCTATCTCGTAAGCAAAAACAGCAGCTTGGTCGAGAACTATTTATGATAACGCACAAAAGCACGGGTGTCCTGTCAAATGTTTCTCCGAGCTGAAAGATGGACATATTTGTCTATGGAGATCTATACATCAATCTGTGCTGGCCTTGATTCTCCATCGACCCAAATACATAGATTGGCTCGAATTGGCAGCTTCTCATTCTGTCCCGCTTGACACGCTCTCAGTCACAACCATTCCGCCGCAGTGCGCGTGCTATTTTTGCTTCTGTGTAACGTTTCACTTGCTTACAGGAAACCGCTCAACGCGATGACAATAGCCTTTCTTTGAACCGTCGGTCTATTTCAAAGTGCGCGCGCGTGCATGTACGAATACTGTGAAGGGGTCAGGACAGTCCGTGTTATCTCTCCGGTCCTGACGTCAGCGAATGTAATTGGAAACACATACCGGTCACCTACCGTGCGGTGCACCAGATGAATGAAATTCCCGGAATGCATATGTTAGCCACCTGCCTGTTAGTCGCCGCTGTTTCATACTGGTACAGCAGTGAGCTTCTGACAGCGCTCAGTCTGTTTGTTTCAGACTCAGCCCTCAGCGGGGACATGCCGGAACCCGAAGGGACTCGTCGGTCACCACAAGGTGTCCCTTACACCGAACTGCCGCACATCGTCAACGCCGACGAGCTGCATTTGTTCTGCCGTTACTGGGAGCCCGACAGTCCGCCGAAGTAAGTGCAAGACATGACAACACAGACACAGAGATTAGGTCAGGCCTCCTGGGACAAAGTGAATTATCCCTCCGTTATGGGTAGAGCAGAACGCGAGGCTGAAGCGTTCACAAAGCTCATTTTTACCTTGCAATTCATTGACTCATCTAAACTAAACAGTTAATTTAAAACCAACACGCTTTTTACAAATAGGCTATAACAGCGCAGGTTCATATTGCAGTAAACGTTAACAGTTGGTTGATTGCGGTTTCCCGCAGAATTCCTCTTTTATCACAAGATAAAAGAACTGTTGGCACACTCACGTGATGTCTAAGTTGGTGAGAGAGGAAATAGACGAGGGAAGTATCTTTTAACACCCCCCCAACACCCCCCCCCCCACACACACACACACACATATATATATATATATATATATATATATATATATATGTGTGTGTGTGTGTGTGTATGTGTGTGTGTGTGTTAGCTATGCTAAACAAGAATCACATGAACTCACCAAATAATTCAGTAGCCTATGCATTTTTATTCAAATAAAAAATGATTTATGACAAAAATAAATAAACAAAATGCTGTTGCAAATGTATCTTTAAATATGTTGTCATATGAAGATGTCAGGCTAATGTTTCTGATTTAAAGGGTTAGTTCATCCAAAAACAAAAATTCTGTAAATAATTACTCAACCTCATGTTGTTCCAAGTTCCTGTAAGACTTCATCTTTGGAACACAAATTATTAAATTAAGATATTTTTTGATGAAATCTAAGAGCTGTCTCACTCCTCCATAGGCTTCTATGTTATTGAAACTTTTATTAAACTTTTATTTTATTTATTTTTTTTTTCACAAAAAGTGAAGTCTGCATCCAGAGGACACTTTACTATCCCCTGAGGCCAGGAGAGGAATTTGTGATTGATACTGACACATGACAACATGAAGAATAATATGTCCAGATCACATTCTGGACTTTTCAAAATATTAAGTACTTATCAGCTACTCAGAGAGAATGCGATTTCAGAAGCAGCCTGAGTCTTTTTTTAATGAATCAGCACAAGAAATACACGGATGAATACATTGGTTGCATTCTATGAAAAATGAACAGCACTTTGGAGAAATTACATTGTTGATGTAAACTGTCATTAAATGAAGACTCCAGTCATATCAGTCTTCTAGAAAAAGCTGTTTTATTTTCAGTCGGTTCCTCATGGGCTCTGCCCTGCTGACATGACTTGTCATACAATTGTCGGACTTAATAATAAAATGTTTACTTAATTGAGAATTTACATCATATACAGGCAGTGCCTGCTTTCACTCACACTGGTTTTCAAGTGATGTAAAGCCAGTTCCCCATAAACATTGTCATGTTAAAAGAATATACTGTCCTAAATAACTCATCTGGTTTAAGTGAACGAGAGAGCGGCCCACTCAGTATCTATGCAGTGAATGCTGAAGAAAATGTCTTGGTTTCCATGCAGAATTTGAGTCGAAAGCCCCTGCTCATGGCCTCTTTATGACCACTTATAGACACACACACACACAGTAATTGTAAAATAGGTCATTTTGAGAATGTGGTTTTGTGGATATCTTACTGCACCCATTCAGGCAGTTGTATGTCTGTGTGTGTCATGCTTATGTCAAACAGGTTAAACTCTGTTACAGAGCTGTTGTTTTACCATCAGCTATTTGCCCAGAAGTGGTCTTAGTGTAGCCCAGGGGAGCATGCCGTTACCATAGTTACTACCTCTTTTCCTCTCTCAGACTAATTTGATCTCTTTTGCGTGTGAGTGTATATGACGAGAGAAAGAGAGAGAGAGAGAGAGAGAGAGAGAGAGAGGGGAGAGAGAGAGTGTGTGTATCTGTACAAGCTCATGTGCATAATAAATAACAGTGAACTGGTAAACCACAAACCATGTGATCCTCAGTTAAATGTTATAAAACCCCAAATATTTTGTTTTGGAATGTTAAAGATGTAGCATTTCCCATGTGACTGAATGTGTTCGATTCAGAGCCAATAACGTCTACAGCCATCAAACATATTTATATCAAACATCTGAGGGAACGCTATCAGGATCCCCTTTAGTGTTGCTCTATTTCATTCTGTTTATGGTGAAATATTCAGCCTGTATGATCGCATAGGGCTCTACTGCATGGAAAACTCTGGATGCTTTGCATCATTCAGCAATAAATTGATCCAATATGTGTTGTTTTATTTTATGTAACAGCATCCAAATGGTCAAATAATGAAAATTTTTATCCCACCTGATAAGATAATGTTTAGACTCTGCTCTTGGAGAGTTTATATATTCTATATCAGCTCTTTTCAAACTTTTTGATGCCAGTAACCCTGTGAGTAAAAAAATTATAATATTAAATTTACATTTATGCATTTATCAGACTCTTTTATGCAAAGCAACTTACAAAAGAACAGAATCAATTTCTCTAAATATTGCCAAAAATATCCATAATATACAATACCAGGTTTAATTGAAAACTTAGGAAGCAAGATAGAAAAGAGAAAAAAATGCAGAGAAGAAATTGAAGGGTTGTGTTTGTTATTAATATAAATGTTTGATATTATAATACAACACAATTATACAGTTGTTACAAAACATTTAATTAAATAACATTTAATTTAACTCACCCTCAAGCCATCCTAGATGTGACTTTCTTCTTTCAGCCAAACACAATTAGAGTTATATAAAAAATATCCTAGCTCTTCCAAGCCTTATAAGGGGAGTGAATAGTGATTTGAACTGAAGCCCCAAAAAAGTGCATCCATCCATCATAAAAGTAATCCATACGGCTCCATTGGGTTAATAAAAGCCTTCTGAAGCGAAAAATGTCCATTTATAATTTTATAAACTCGAATCAAAGGCTGTGTCCAAAAATCGTATACGTTCTTGAGTAGATACTTATTTTGAATTATTAATTTCTTTATGACTGCTAAAAAGTATGTTCTGTAGTATTAATGTATGTATTATGAATGTAATTTGCCATGTTGTCATTATCATGCAAGTCGATTTCCAACCGAATAATGAATTCTGACCCGACACATGACCTGTTGACGAACACTGAAGAGCAGAGGATAGATCAAAACAAAACACTGCTTGAGAATTAGTAGTCTAAAATGAGAATTAAAAAGAGAAATGCTTGAGTTTGTTGCCCAGCTCTATTTGTTTGAACCGCTTATACTCTTACCTAAACTTACGTTTAGGTTACCTAAACTCACGTTAAATTTACGCTTATGTTAATATCTTAAATGAACATGCATTGACAGGCCTAAAAGTACATTTTTATAAAACCTTTTTTTTTTTCTGGACCTTCTAGCACTCGCTTGCACCCAGGTGACATCAAACCAACCTTTGAAAGTAAACATAAACGTAGTTGGGTTCTCTGTTGGAAGTTGAACTTCCACTTAAAAGAATTAATGTGAGCAGCTGAAGTAACAAACTGTTTACAACAAATTCAGCGATTGGCTTAAGAAGAATGCCTCTGTTCACAGTCCAGACATCATCTTACACTGCTTCTTTACAGTCGCTTACATGTTCATGTCCAGTGCTGATGCTGCCAGATGCAACAAGAGAAACAGGAAGTGGGTGAAAGTTGAAAAGACCACAGTAGCTCATTGTATGACCCCTGTAATGATTGACAGATCGCTCAATAGATAATCTGGGCATTGAACCCAAGCAAAGTGAAGTGAAACACACTCTTACACAGTCTGATAATTGGGTCATGCCAGTCAGCGTGTTTCATTCTCTAGTGTCTAATGGCATTTGGAGAAGAATTCCTTTACCAAACATGGATATTTATACAGCTGCCAGTGCAATGCCAAAAGACACACACGAATTCGGCCCTCGCTAGCGTAGCCAAAAACTGTACGTGCACACAGAATTTCATTATCTATTTATCTCAATTCTGCTTTGATGGTTGTTGCTTTGTAGATCCGTTTTGGAATTCCAAAGACGTGCACACACACACATAGCAAATACACACAGTGTCCTCTCTGTCTGCCTCGCAAACTCCATTCCCAGGGTTCAAGGACTAAAACCTTTTAATCTGAACATAATCATGACTACAAACGTTTCCATTTTAAATTGAGTGGCTTGAGTGAATATTTCTGTGTATGATAGGGAAATGAATCGAAAGATTAGCAGATTCTGCAAATAGAAATAAACCTACACACTCTTAGTCCTCTGAGACCATGTGAGCCCATTATACATTTACAAAGACTCTTTTTGTTACTGGTAAGAGGCTGCTTTGAGGTCATAACAAAATCTGCAACAGTGAAGACCTAATAAATCTAGATTCCCCATCTCCCTCCTTCATCTCTTTCTGTCTTATTTTGTCTATGTTTTAGTTTTGTTGTGAGATACTAATGAGTGTATTTTGTTATTCTGGTGTGAGATGTAGGATGTGTCTGTATTTCGCTTTGGGAACTGAGAAAGAGTTCTGAATAATATCAGCAATGAATTTCGCTTCCATTAACGGTTCTTGCACGTACATTTCCCACCGATGCGGATGCAGACTATTTAACAATCGCGAGAAAACGGCCGGGTCCTCCATCGAAATTGGGTCTCCATTAGGACCCCAAGTGATCTCTTTGGCTTAATGAACTTTTAATGGGTACTCTCTTTAGTGGCTGATTTTAATTTTTGTGATATGTCACTTGAACTACATTACAATAATGCAATTTTTCAATATCAAATTCAGTATTTCAAGATTAATGTAATGGTTCAGTTATTTGTTTATTATTATAAACAGTTTATCAAGTGAAATTTTTTTTATTTTTTAATTGTACAATATATAGTAAGCAATTAAATATATATATCAATGTCGTTTGTGTGTACGTAGTAGCATACAATTTATAGCAGATAGTTGAGGGAAACCGATTTCTCACGAACACCTCGCTGCAACAGTGCCACTGAATCTACAACCTGAAACAGACAGCGTGACCATTGTTGCTCAATTACAGAGCGAGTGTGAAAATTCATCGATTCCCGATGAAAATAACTCAAGGACAGTCAAGAGTTCAAACACATACAGTAACTTTGTAAATCTGTGTATATCCATTTGTTTGTTAAACACATTTTTTGTAAATGAATTTATTGTTGAAGATGTCTCCTCATCTAGCAATGAAATTGCATTTGAAATGTTTATTTCTCTTAAAGAAACTGTTAAGGAACTGGAATTGTTAGGAAGAATCTCTGTTCCATTCTTTACGATTCTTAGCCCAATTCAATAATTAGCATTTTTCCTCCCTCAGGGCGCTGGTGTTTATTGTCCATGGAGCAGGAGAGCATTGTGGGGGATATGCTGACATTGCTCACAGTCTGACCCAGCATGGCTTTCTGGCGTTCGCCCACGACCACGGTTAGTGGCAGACTCCTAATCAAACTTCTGAAATCCCAAACATACAGATTTGTTGGTTAGCAACGGCACAGCAGTGTTTTGGGTGGTGTAGGAGGGCGTGCTCTTTATGAGGCTGTGAGAGTGTGGGGTGAAAAATGTATTTACGCCCACATTTGATTCCTGGTAATTCATCCACCCTGTTTTCTTGACATTCATAACAGATGTTGTGGGAATGGAGTCATGGACATCCTGGGTTTAGAGTGGGGGATGGAGTTGAGAAATGACAGAAATGAAATTAAACGAGAGAATATAGAATATATAGCAGGTGCTATGTGTACAGAATGTTAAAGAGGTTTTGTGGCAGTGCCATGGTAACTAATGATTCACACAGAGAGACAGCAAGCCGCCTTGTGATGAGCAGTTGGGGTTCTGTGAGTGTGTGATTTGACTGTCTGGTATCTCTGTGTGAGTAATTGGTTCTATTGAAATACAACAAACAGAAATCATTACAGTCAGTCTCTCTCTATCTGTTTCTTGATCTCTTTCTGTCTCTCTGCTCCTTTTGACAAGCGGTTTCACCTCTCATTATATACAGTATATACACACCACATGCTTTTCGAATATCTATTCTATTATTTTTTTAGTTGTTCCATTATTCGTTTTATGTTAATTTGATTAAATGCCATGTCAAAAAAAAAAAATAAATAAATCCTGAGCTCTTTGTGAGCTGTTGACATAATTTTGTGATTGACAGTCCTCTGTTATCTGCTGTTTAAAAGGAGAGCTGATATATAAAGACAGGGGGAAATGAGGGAAAAATAAGTTTGGAGTGTCATTCTCTTTCTCTTTCTGTCTCAGTTGGTCATGGGCAAAGTGAAGGTGAGAGAATGGATATCAAAAACTTCCAGATTTATATCAGAGACTCACTTCAGCACATTGACATCATGAAGGGCCGGTACCCCAAGCTGCCTGTCTTCATCATTGGACACTCAATGGTAATATACATTTTGAAACCATCACCCTATATTTGTTTCGTCTCTTTTTAGCTATTTTCTGCTTTTTGTTGTTTATTAGCATGACAAACAATCCTACATTTTCATTATACAAGCTGTGGCTGAGGTTACTTAAAAAGTACAAGACCAATGCAAAATAAACGAGATAAGTAATAAAACTATAACATAAAAGAAGCATAAATTATATGAATAATTATAACAATAATAACAAGAAATAATACGTGGTTATACTTTAAGGCAAGAGAAATAAAAACGCACTTGTATTCCGCTATCTAGCAGATTTTAGGCATTTTAATATTTTATTGTGTGATGGATTTTCCCTGAACTTGACTATCCTACAATAATACTCACAGTCGGCCAAGTCTTATACCCTATCGTGTCTACACATCGACGTCGGCTGAGTACTAAACCTATCCTATACCCTAGTGTGTTTACACATCGACGTCGGCTGGGTACTAATCCTATAACCCTAGCACGTCTCCTGTCGACGTCGGCTGGGTACTAATAATTCTAACTTACTTGTTCTTGCTGCGCAGCTAAAATGACAGACAGGCTTTAGTAAATGTCCTTCAGATGCTCTTTATTTCAGCAGGGAGTTCTCAAGCAATACCCAGACACACAAAAAAGAATCATCATGACTAATTATTTCATTGTGACTGATCATGTCACACTCTATCAATATGATTGGTTACATTGTTTAAAGCAAGCCCCATCCCCTCATCATCCTTTGTTAGTGACATCAGCAAAAATATCCTATATCCTCAAAAACAGTTTGTAAGGTGTTAACATTTCAGTCAATCACGTCTTAGTACAGTAAAAGAACAAAACGTTCAGTTCATTTTCAAAGTTACATTGACCATGGTTACATTAAGTCAAATGTTTGTTAGTTGGTTTGTTCATATTGAAAGTTCATCTCATGGCTACATCCTAAATGGAAAGGAAGTAAGATTTATCTTGTTTTATTGTTAGATCTAGAATGGAAAGTTAGTCACCTTAAGACAAAAAAGTGGAAGTATATGATAGATTTTATCACATGATAGAAATATCAAATATAATTAATAAACATAATCTTATCGATTAAAGTTTCTACGACAACTGTACATATTGATTTGCATTGTATTGTATTCATGCATTCATGCAGCTCGATTTTAGCAACCAAGTTTTCAGCTCATTTGTCTGCATTCTCACAAATATGCAAAGGACTCATATACATATTTACAGGTTTCCTACGTTTATATTAAAATTCTTTCCAAGAAGCAGACATCTCAAAAAGATGTAAATATTTTTTGTCTGGAAATTTCTACAAAAACATTTAATACTATGTTTAATAACTATTCAAAGCCAACTACAACTGTTGATAAAGTCAAAGTAAACTATTTCAGACTGTCTTTCAGACTGACTCACAGGGTGGAGGCCACAGGAAGAACCATTTGCTTTTGCTTTTTTTCCATTTCCCATGTTCAGTGTGTGTTAAACCCAAACTATGGATGACTGAATATAAACAAGAATGCAGCTGAAAGCTATTTAGTTTTGTTTTTATCCAACAGTTCCTAATAAAACAGACCAGCTGCATACCCAAGACACTTTATGAGCCATATACAGTAGACTAGAAATGTGTCTGGATGTATCTATACGCTGTATTTTTTTGAACAATACAAAGCTGTGTTGTAGTGATGGGCATTCTGGTAAAATAAGAAATCCTTCATCTACTGCTAATGCCCATAATGCACCTCTCTCATGTTCCTTCAGAGCAGATTATCAATCTAGATAATGTAATATGTTTTTGCTGCTCTCCATCTACCTCACTTTCCTTGAACTGTATTTAATTCTTCCCCTCTTTCTCTCGCTAATCTATTATCTGATGGAACAACAGGCTGTTTGGTCCTTATATAATCAATTACAGCCTTAAATCTTTAATAAGAAAATGAAATTATTTCTTGCTACATCCAGTCGTGGGATTGTGTGAGTGAACTTTTCGCTCTCTGTGACCTGAGGAACTGAAGCTACCGGCTGAATAAACATTTGCTTTCCTATCACGTTTACATAGGAAAATGCTCAGTGTCATATAATAGCGTGTGTGTGTGTCCTGCTAAACCCTACTGTTATGGCGACAAAATGTCTCCACAAAGATGGCAATATCCAAAATGTTGTCCTTGTCCTTGTGGGGACATTTTTTGGTTCACATAAGGAAAAAGGAACAGCTTATAATTTTTTTTTCTGTGACGTTTAGGGTAAGCGTTAGTGTAAGGGGATAGAATGAACAGTTTGTACAGAATAACTATAAAACATGAAAATACAATGTGTTTTTGAAGGAAAGGCATGTACAGATCAGTGTGTTTTACTCCCAGTTACTCCCAGTGAGGCATCAATTCTAATTAAAAAACAATGACCTCATATAATCAAATCAAAGCAGACCACCTATTTTCTTGATGACGCTTTAGTGTTAATGTGCATGCAGTTGTGTGTGTCTAAACTGAGTGTGTGTTTGGGTTTGTGTGTCTAGACTGAAAGTGTTTGTGTGTATGTGCGTTACTTTAAACAGACCATTATTGGAGTCTCTTAGAAATGTGGTGGGAACTGCTCTTTAATCTCTCCACCTCTTTTGAATCCTGCCCTCTACTCATGAATATTCATAGATAGGTTCATAATAGAAGATGAAGAAAGAGAAGGAGCAGAGCATCAGAAAATTACAAATTAGGGGCTTCTCACTCAGATTTACTCACGTGTGGAAGTAAAATTGTCATATTTATTATTCAGTGTATTACAGACACAATTTTAATGCAGGGGTTTTCAAACTTTTATATAGGCAGCTATATATATATATTGATGTATGCAAGACACCTACAATTAAGCATATTATGGCTTTTATATTATTTTGCCATAATATTTTATACCTACTTGTGCTGTTAAATAAATAAATAAATATAATTTAATATAATTTTTCTATTTAGAAGTACTAAGTAATTTTTTTTTCAATAATCTGTTTTCAATAACATGACAGGGTCTGTTTGTTTTTACTACAGGGAGGGGCCATTTCCATTCTGACCGCATGTGAGAGGCCGCAGGATTTTGCAGGTGTGGTTCTCATTGCTCCCATGATTCAAATGAACGCTGAATCTGCTACACCCTTTAAGGTAAAAAGTCACTAAACACACTATAGTGACGGCAAATTCTTCTTTCTTCCCAATTGTTTCCATTTATAAATCAGATCTGCTGCCCCCTGCAGTCAGACGGTTAAATGCAATCAAATAACAATAGCTTTTAAATGTCAGCTGTCAAATCATTGCAGAAAAGCTCAGTGTTTTCATCTATTCAATCATAGATGCCTCTCTGTAATGGCATTTAAATTCTGTTTTTTTAGTGCATGTATGAAATCAGTTCCCATCACATTTCAACTATGAACGAAACATGTTTAAATCGCATGTAACAGATTTTGAAAAGTAACTATTGTTTTATCATATAAAATACTCACAGTTTTGTAAAATATTTAGCTTTTTTTAAATAATAACAAATGTGACTTATTGATAGATTTTTTGAGTATTTGTCCAGATACCTTTTTAGGCAACGGTATGTTTAATCACTGAACATTTTCATTTTTAATAGCTGTTTCATTTGTAAATCTCAGAATGTTTCTATGAAGAATTTTAAATATGTAAATATTTAGTCAATTCAATCATTCAGTGTCTGATGCAACAGAAATGTTACTGCTGCTTTTAGATGTTCAGGTGTCTGAAGTAAATCATCTGTGTGTTCTTGGATTCTTTGCAGGTTTTCGTAGCAAAAATTCTAAGCCGCTTGACTCCAAAACTCTCTCTCGGCTCGATCGAGTCAAGATGGGTCTCACGGGATCCCAAACAGGTACAGGAATGTATGCGAAAGGTCTTCTGTAGAAGTGGGGAAATGTGTATGTGTGTAAATTTTACACTGACAGTTTATGTTTGAATAGGTTAAAGTAGACTATCTGGCAATGTTCTTATGTTATGTAAGCTTTTGAAACAGTATTTACACAGTAAACATACTCTTTCAGAGTGAGGTACATACGGATGAAAACACACATGAATGTAATTTTCTTCATAGCTTGGCCCTGGAATACTGTTAAATTGACAATAACAGCTTGTGCCATTTATTCAGTCATAGTAGACAACATAAACATCTTACAGTACAATAATAATTTTAATTTTAATTGTGAAAGAAATTTGATATGCTTAATTGTTCCCTGTTTATGAAGTATAATCTTGAGGAATGAGTTACTGCTATTAAGATCATATTTGAAATCCTACATCTTCTCCTCCTTAGGTGGAGGCATATGACACAGATGAGTTAAATTATCACGGAGGGTTGCGCGTCTCATTCGGAATGCAGCTGATGGATGCGGCTTCTCGCATTGAGAGAGAATTACCCAACATCACGTGGCCCTTCTTTATTCTCCATGGCGACGCCGACAAGCTTTGTGACATCAGAGGCTCTCATCTGATGTATAACGAGGTCAAGAGCACTGATAAAAAACTCAAGGTGAATCAAACGTGCATAAACATTGACCAAATTCTGTCATCATTTACTCACCCTCATGTCTATGTAAACCTCCATGACTTTCTTTCTTCTGTGGAAAACACACAAAAATAATGTCTCTGTGTTTTGTCACTGACTTTAAAAAGCAGTTCTTTTTGAAAATATCATCCTTCAAAATATTACTTTGTGTTCCACATTAGAAAGAAAGTCATACAGGTTTGGAATGACATGGGGGTGAGTAATTGATGCAGGGACTATCCCTTTGAACCTGTGAAAACGGTCTGAGCTGTTGTTGTGGCAGTAGATGTTTCGGATATCACAGAATAACCTGATCCAGATGCACATTCTGTACTCCACTTAAATAAAAAAACAACTCCATGTTTCAACAACTTCAGAAGAACTCACAAAATCTGTGTGTGTTTCTATGATGAACAGGTATATGAAGAAGCCTACCATGCCCTGCATCATGACTTACCCGACACAGTTGAGTCTGTCTTAAAGGAGGTGAGCACCTGGATCCTGGAGAGACTCCCCACCCCCCATGGGTCTTAGCTGTCAGTCACCGCATGCACACTTGGCTAAGCCCCGCCCTCTATCAAATCTTTCATCTCTACTGACTAAGGGATGTTTGATTGCACTACATGCCAACTAAACTACCCTCATTAAAATTACCTTGGTAATGCAAGAGGCCTTTGACCTTAAGTTCCAATTACGCTTTAGTATGGCCAGTAAGGGCTCTTCGGGAGTTTATGTTCTGTCAAACTTCAAAGGTATCATCACAACAGGGCATGGTGCCTCTGCAATATAGAACACAGCTACAATTTGCTCTTTGTGATGTCCACTGCTCATTAGAGATGCAGTGCTGCCCCCGCTGGACAACAGCAGTACTGCATCCTGCTTTGAGCACAGTTACCAAGGCAACTCAACCATTGCCTATGGCTTGGCAGAAAAACAAACTGAACCTACAGAATGAGAATATGGTAATGCTTTGAGACATTGAGAGAGCAAAATGTTTGCTGGACAATTTTAAAATTGCTCTCGAAGAGATCAATTTTTAGATAATCTCTAACAGACACATCTATGCAGGAGATCACAGATTCCCACATGTACACTATAAATAGCCACAATAAGCAGAATTAAAAACGTTTTTCAGCTTTTATGAGTTTCTTTTGGTGGTTTGACTGTTTCAAACACCCCAGACTGTTCCATTCCTTTGAGTAAAGGGAGAACTGGCTGTTCTGCAGCTGTATTTACTGAATATGAAACCTATTTGCAGCTGATTCTTCCTTGTAGGCTCTGGAATTGTAATATCTCATTCCTTTTATTATGAAAGTGTTACGTTACTAAATTAATATGTTACCGTTGATAATTATAGTATGTTCACAATAGCTTTTGACCTCATTTTACGCCTCAGGATTCTCATGGGGTTCGTAGCTCTAAACATGAAATTGTAAAAGGTCAGTCGTTCACACCAGCTTAACGTTTAACACGACTGTTTTGATTCTTACAAAGGGGAGTTTTGTGACAGAGATTTTCCTGTTATCTTTCCTGTTAAGGCATTTTATCAATGAATATGGATCAATGAAGGTTTTTTTTATCACTGAATGTGGCACATTTTTAATGGAAGCTACACGCAAAAACTTTCTCTTGCTGAATTTTATATATTGTCATTTAGCGCTCTGACTAAGATCAGAAGGAAAATGACCGCTATCCGTGACATGGACAGAACTGAAATGCCCAGCACAAGACTGTAAATAGTGTGCATGTTTGTGTGGGTTTTGGAGGGAGACTATGTAGAGATAGGCTATATGGATGTCTGTTTCACACGTAAAGTATATTGTCTCTCCATCATTTGAAATGGATCTCATCACATGTACGTGATATGTAATACATCTAATGAGAGTTTGTAGAAGAACTAAATCTTTATCACTGATAATCCTTTGTGACTTTGACTGTTTCCTAAGGTGAAAGAGCTAGGAGCACGGCTAATATTCTCAAGGACATTATCTTTACATTGGGCAATAAATATAACACATTATTCATTTGGATTTGAAGAACTGTCCATTTGAGTCGCTTGCCTTTACTATGACATCTAAAATTCTCTCCTACATTTGCACTGTCCTAGTAAATGGCACATTTAATATAGATTTTTTTTTCTGAATGCTTGCATAAATGCTGTAATATATTAAAAACTGAAATCAAATATATAATGTGATTTAAATAGTAATGAATATGGTCTCTGAATTGTAAATTCTATAAAATAATAAATTAGAAATGCTAAATGATATATGGCTTATGTGTATTTATTATTTTTCAAAATGATCCCAGCACTGTGGACTCTACTTTGTTCAATTATCTGTGAAAGATTTTTTTCTATTGGTTTGTTGATTGATTAATCGATTTATTGATTGGCTGATTGATTGGAGTGATTGCATGCATGTGTGCGTTTAAATTATCATAGATTTACAAAGATGTGCAATGACTTGGGTCATATGAGTTATGGTTAAGCCCCTGAGGCTAAGGTACCAAAAATCCCCAAGCTTCTTAAAAGCCCCTTTTATATAATACAACAGAGATTTGTGGCAGCATCTTTCAGATTTTAGAGCCATAACTAATTATGCCTGGAAAAAAAATAGTTTGTAGTGTCCCGTGAAAATTCGCTATAAAGATCTTTTTTAGTAACCCCGATTTGTTCTAGAAAACTGTCATTTGAATTCATGAATCTACTCCATGTTCCCCTTGGTGCACATCTGTCCTAGTTTCTTTAACTAGGCAACAGGCGTGTGATTTACTGTCAGTCTTTAGACTGCCATGTGGAATTTGCTGCCTTTTCCCTGTGTTTTATGTTTATTTTATTAATTTAAACATGGCCAAATGTGTTAAACACAGCTGAAAAGTTTCTCAAATGGTTGCCTTCCTCTGTTCTGTGATGTGCGTTCGTGACTCTCCTATTCGAACCCGTTCATCAAAATGAACGAATCTTTTCCAGAGTTAACTTGTTCATTTTGTTCGTTGAATGAACTAAATGATTTGTTCATTTTGATAAACGAGTTTGAACAGGAGAATCACGAACGCGCATCACAGAACAGAGCAAGGTGATCAGTTGAGCTTATAAAACTTAAACTTTGTAATTTTTTTATTAAATGAGCGATCATTACGCTTGATAAGACCCTTATTCATCCTCTGAACTCGTTTTAAGCCCTTTGAACAGTTTGCAGTCTGTCTTTTGGACCTTAAACCGTTTGGTTCCCATTGAAGTCCATTATATGGAGAAAAATCCTGGAATGTTTTCATCAAAAACCTTAATTTCTTTTCTACTGAAGAAAGAATGACATGGATATCTTGGATGACATGGGGGCGAGTAAATTATCAGCAAAAGTTTTTTAAAAAAAGTGAACTACTCCTTTAAGAACTATTGAGGCATTATTACTATGAGTTACTTTTTGCCCCGCAGGGGGCGCATGGGTTCCTCGAGGAAAATAACTGGAGGATTTAAAGGTAGGTTATGTGTGGCCATGGTAACGGCTTTACCTGCGACCTGAATGGAGGAGACCCGAGAATAGGAATAGATCAACTGCTCTATATTTACTGACAGGGAACTCCTCTCCTGGCGTTTGTATTTCATGAATTGTTAATCTGAAAAAAAAAAAAAAATGTTTTGCCATGGAGCACTTCTAGGAATCGACACAGATTATAGCTTTGCTTTATATTTTCAAAGTAGCCTAAATCAAAAGATAAGCTTTTACTTTCGATAATACGCTCTATGCTTGCATATACAACGCACTTATAGAATTCATGACTCAAGACCGAAGATTCGTGTAAAATAAACTGCTCCACCGAGAGGACTTTATCGATACTTGTGTTCTTTTTTATTCACTTATGTTACAGAGAGTGCTTCCGTATATTTCTCTACGCTCAGCTTTGCTTGAGTTCAGAATTTAGCCCTGAAACCACCCCAGAAGCCTCTTCACCCACTTCCTAAATCTCGCGAACACGCTTCAAAAGGGGTGGAGCTTCAGTCTCATGCTGCTTTACGATTGGTCATTTTCGAAGTCCATCAGGGCTTGACGCTCGCTCTCGAACTCTGACCGCGCCCCCGAGGCTCAGCGGCTCGCGGTGGAACAGGAGAGAGTGTCCGCGCCTTCTCAGGAGGCACCAACGGTCTGTTCTTATTGGAAAAAACAAGAATATTTCAGCTCATTCATGGCGAAATTAGTTTTATTCGACGCTCAGAACCATATTCATTCCGGACCGCGGCTCTGACAGCGACAGGCGACGAGAATATCCGCAGCTCTCAGCAGTTGGAGTTTACCGAGGATTTTCACAGCAGTTTCGAGCTTGGAGGCGCGCGAGTGCCGGTGTCGTCGTCTCCGTGAGCGCCTTTTCGTGCTTTCTGGTGACAGCTGACACTTGTTCGATTTCCGAAGACTAGAACGCCTGATCTGTCTCCCCCTTTCTGGTTCACCGGGTGTCCCTGTCAGTGCCGGGCAGCCTGCACACTCACCCCGGCGCGGCCTCGCTCCTTACCGAGTTCCCGGCGACTACACAGCTACCTCCCCGGTAGAGCCAGTTACCCACACTCCACTAAAACACCTGCCGTGTTTAGAACTACCAAAACCAGTGGATCCTAGGAGAAATAACGGACAAGAGAGACGCGGATCTGTGCGCGGGTGATATAACTTAAGACAGACAAAGCTGTCATACAACATTTCAACAGATCTCTGAATTTACATATTGAGTTTTTTTGGCTTCTTCTCTCGAGCATATCCGTTATAGAGGTAATAGACGACAAAAAGTCAATTATACAAACTAATCACGCATTGTGCAAAGGCAAGGCCTCGTCTGCTAACTCCGATAGCTAACGTTACATCGCTAACTCCCAGCCTGGGTTTAATCAGCTTCTAATCTTATCAACCGCTCTTTTGACTCTTATTCATCGCTTATTTTGTTGCATACGACACAATAGCGAAGCTATTTTAATTTATTGTTAACGTTCAACGCACAGGACGACATTCCTAGCCAAGAGATCTCTTGAGCTAAAGCAGGAGGAAACAGAGCTGTCAGCCTTTATTTTCTACTACTCGGCCTGATTAACTCCAACCTTGAGAAACAAACCCCCCCGGTGAAGAATCTTATGTGTTGTGTTGTGCTTGTTTCAGCTGACCTTTGCTACCAAAATTAACTAAGTCCCTCGCGAGCTTCTTGCGCAGCAACCCGCTGCATGCACTGATACGGGGAAGACTTGATTTATATTTTTGTACCATAGTTCAGGAGTCATTTAGATATCTAGTCAAATATCTGCACAAACCTACTACTGTTTAGCCATGAGTATTGAGATTCCAGTCGGTCTGACGGAGCTGCTTCAAGGCTACACCGTGGAGGTGCTGCGCCAGAGGCCGCCGGACCTGGTGGAGTTTGCCGTGCAGTATTTCACCCGTCTGCGGGACACCAGGAACCAGGACGGGTCCGGGGTCGCCACCGCCAAAACCGGGGGGAAGGGAGTGATGTTTGATGGCGAACCGATGCAGACCGAGTCGAACGGCGATGACGAGGACGAGGACGATGACTCAGACTTTGAGCGTGAGTGCCTTCTTTATTGAATCAGCTTATTACGCTACCTGTAAAAGAGGAAGATATTGCTGATTGAGTATGTTTTAATGTATATCGTGTTTGCACGGCTAACAAGGGTGTCAGATCTCCCTTGAGATGGGTAACGTGAGGAAAAGCCTTATCTAGGCTGTTTCCATGGCACTCGCTCGAGCTCCCATCCAAGCGCTTGATTGACAGAGTGACAAGTGGCGCCCGCACAAGGTATCCCCAGAATGCATGCAAAATTAAAATGGGACAGTATGCACGTTTAATAGATTTGCATTAATATTTATGCATATCTGTTCTTGAACAGAGACGGCTGTGGTGTGTGTGATCGGTCTAGCGTTGTTAGCCCATTCGTGCTGTATGAATTGCATGAATGAATGGATGCTGGATGGCCATTGAGAATGCTAACAGAGATTTTTCATAATGGAGAGAGGTGCGCTCGCGCACATCAAAGCAGCCCCTCTTTCCTTTCATGCAGTGCAGTGCAGAGCGAGCAGCTGCAATAGCAGGCAGATTTCACTGGCAGACATGCAAGTCATCATTTGTGAATTAAAACATTAAAGAAGTCATTGAGTGAAATCTGTGAGAACAGTGAGAAAATGGATACAGGGATTGTTACACATTCCTAAATCGCTTAGGCCCATTAGGCTATAATGATCATATTTCATCAAACCGCATGATATACAGTCTGTGTGGATTGTCTTAGGCTGATTGTTTAATATTTAATTATGTAATTGTTTTCACATCCTCTTACAAAACGGATTGGGGAAATCAATGCCAACTGTGTGTTAAATCTGATCTCAGATCAGTGAGTGTGAAGGTTTATGTGCTCTTTCAGTGGTTTGAATTTGTGCAGGTACATCATTCTCTTTCCGCATCCTAATATTCATACTTCACTGCTATATTGAATGCAAAAATCACTATGAAAAATTATAGTCTGACAGAATATTTACCATATTTGGTTGGACCATTTTATAGGCCACTTTTAATATGCACTGCGTCCAACAAGATTCTGAAGTGTGCAGCCAGTTTCATATCCCACAATTCTGTGGGAAGCTAACAAGCTTTCAGATTTGAAAGGTTGGTAAATTAAGAAAAAGTTGAGTGGCTTTTCTAGTGCAAGAGTTGTAGTTACCAAGAAAGTTGTTGTTATTGTTCTTATTGTTGTCACAATTATGGAATTTCTAATTTCGTTATGATAGATATTCACTAGACCACCACGAGTCAAGGATGCATGTTCTTGACATGAGAGCAGATGTTGTTGAGTTGAACAGAGATTAATATTTTGTAAATAAAGTGGTAAATTTAGTTTTTTGCACAAGCAAAGCACTCGCTTTGGTTCATAAATTTGAGGTTAAACCACTCAAGTCACATGGATTTACCTTAATGATGTCTACTACCTTTCTGCGGCTTGAAAGTGATAGTCGCGTAGGCTGTTAATGGAGCGTCAGAAAGCTCTCAGATTGAATTAAAAATATTTTTATTTGTCATCTGAAGATAAACAAATGTCTTATGGGTTAGCGCAATTAGCTAAGAGAAAGAAGTCAATTTGGTACTTGAGTGGTTTAAGAGGCGGCTTTATGTATGCACCTCTTATATCATCAGTGGTGTGTGCTCTTTTATTGTGATCACAAAACTGCAGGATGGTATGAGTAAAATTATGTGAAAATACAATACCCACATTCAGGCCCTGTAACACCAACACTACTCAACCAGAATGCATGAAACTTTTTATAAGAGTATATAAGGTTTATAAGAGTAAGCAGGTGTGTGTCAAACTTTAAATTCGCCTTCGGAGAGAAATGAGATTGAGAAAGTGCTGCTGAAATAGGTGTTTCGATACTGCAGAAAAATAGTATTGGAATCGTTTCAGATATTGACACGTATCGAAATATCAATATTTTTGACACGAGTCACTAGTTATTATTTGACAATACCTGAGTGGATTACTTTCACAGATATTGTTAGGATGTCATAGACCAAAAACTTCTGAGAAAATGGACAGTGCCAACTGCCAAGTTGGCAGATTAAATATGAATGCATTTTCAGACAAAGTACGAGTTTGTATTCATCCAGTTCAGGTAGATCAGTTAATTTGCTAAGATAGTCGTCCACACATCCAATCATGATCGTGAGATGGGTTCTGCATTAGACACGTGTTGTTCCATAGCAGACCTTATGTGAGCTGAGGAATGCAGAGCATGCTTGGGCATGTTTGAAGAGTTAATGCATAGGTAAGACCATCCCACCTTGATCTTTCTTACTTTGCGTCATGCTGTCAAGAAAACATCTACACATCCCTAAGAACTGGTAATGTATCATGCAGAAGTTTGGATGGATTTGATGCCTTGCATATGGTGCATATTTGCTCTGATGGAAGACTTGAATACTTTATCATGTACAGTGCTTTATCATGTATATTGTTGGTTTCTGTGAGAATGTAGATTTATGCTCACAATTGGTTTTGGGTAAAGAGTATTTGAAAGTTTTGTTAGCAGTTTCAGCTGTTTGCTCATTTCCACTAGCCTGGATGCCAGCCTGAAACCCGCGCACATTTTTTGGTCAGGAAGTTCGGTCAGGACTCGATTCATTGAGGAGTAATTATGATCGGTTCAGAAATCGACGGGCCAATCAAATTGCCAGGGTGGGTTTTATACGATGATGGACAGATGATCTGCAGTTATGTAATCATCACTTTCTCAAATACCCCTTTTCCACCAAAGCATTTTGAGAGCCGGTTCGGAGCCGGTGCCTGTGCGCGAACCAGTTCTTTGTGTTTCGACAGCCAAAGAACAGGTTCTCGGCCAGGAAAACTGGTTCCAAAGGGCACCAACTCTTTCCTGGACTAGAACCGTTCTTTTACCACGTCATGCTTACATTGGGGGCTGGGGGCGGCTTTAGATGCGTTCTAAACATCTTTTCTGACCATAAAATTGGATCGCAAAGCCAGGAGAAACATTTGCAGAAACACGATGTAGTCCGCCTTTCTAATTGTTATGCTTGAAGTTGGTGTGCAAGTGCTTCTATTTGAAAAAAAATTATTGAAAACATAAGTAAAGATGAAAACAGTCACAATATAGAACAAATAAATGGAAAGAAAAAAAAGACACAAGAAAGGGGTACATAACTAATCAGAAAAGATTACATATCAAATGAAAAGATTAAAAGACTTACATATTTCAATTGTTTTTAAAGCCTTCTTGGTACACAAGTTAGAGATAATCCCAAAGTAATGTTGTACTTGCAAGCGTTTCTAGCTAAGACGTATGGCGACGTACACAGTGACGTAACGACATTGTTCCCTGGGCACTCTAGTCAGTTGAAAAACAAAACGGTTTGCAAGTTGAACCAATTCCGAACCAACTTTGAACCAGCACCAGTTCTTTTTTGGTGGAAAATGGGTAATAGAGCACTTGTGTTGAACTGTTTTTTATCAAAGATGACTGCAGCTGGAGAATTGAGATGTTCACGTCTGTTGTGAAAGAAATCGACAGCGCATTCATTTTAAAAGACGAACTGTTAAATGAAAAACTGTAATTATATTCCATCAGTCCTTACATTGTCTACATCAATAATATAATACAATTCAATATATATCACACATTTCATAGTAGGCTAAAATTACTGTAAATCCGTGGTAAATTATGGGAATTTGTAGAGTGAAAAGCCTTCCGACTGTATTTTTGCGCACGGTGTTTCTCCTGTTCGTCAGCGCTGTTTCATCTGCCTTTAAACTGGTTTAAATTACTAAGACATGTGTTCTTTGCTGAATTCAAGCGCTTCTCACTGGATCTAGTGACCGAGGCCGATCGAAGTAAACGCAGCTCGCGCTGCTGTTTGGACTTTGAGCCGAGCGGTTCGTGCGCGGTCAAATGAGTTTCGTTCCGCTTTTGGCAAATAAACATTATCGAACCTTTATAAAACTCTGTATATCGTTTTATTGAGAGAAATTATACCGCGATAATTATCGTTATCGTTTTATCATCCAGTCCTAAATCAATGCAATTCGCCTTATTCACTTGGCGGCCATTTTGAAAATGGAACGCCGCTGAGGGGTACACTCACCCGGAAGGATGCATGCGACGCAGCAGCACCAGCAATGAAAACTCGCAATGCGGACCACCAATCATTCCTGTCTGCCCGAATTAACGATGCAAAATGTGAAGCAAAGTGCCAGTGACTGAAACATCCCCCGGGCTGTGTTAATTAAGGGATACAGTACCTGTATCGGAGGTTTTATCCACGCCATTGAACGTAGGAATGGACGCCTTGCCAGTTTCTGCGAGCTTTCAGCAGCCAGAGGTAATTAACGTTAGTAAGCTAAGCTGTAATATGGAGTTGTTGACTGTGTAAGTTACTATGTTAGATACAATTGTACTTTATTGTTTAGATACACATCCAGTAGCTTACATACACACACATGCATGTAAAACAATCAAATCACGCACATGTATGTAAAAGGAAAGAGGAGAAGTGATTTTAAGGTCTGACAGGGACTGATCCTTACACACTGACAATAATAAGCTGCTATGGTGACAATACAAGTTTACATATATGTATTCATAAAGAATAAAAATAATGATGGTAATGGATTTGTATAGATTCTAATAGTACACAGTCAACTTCCTACAAGCTTGCAGAAACTGAGGTAAATTGGCGTCCATTCTTACGTTCAATGTCGTGGATAAAACCTCCGATACAGGTATTGTATCCCTTAATTAACACAGCCCGGGGGATGTTTCAGTCACTGGCACTTTGCTTCACATTTTGCATCGTTAATTCGGGCAGACAGGAATGATTGGTGGTCCGCATTGCGAGTTTTCATTGCTGGTGCTGCTGCGTCGCATGCATCCTTCCGGGTGAGTGTACCCCTCAGCGGCGTTCCATTTTCAAAATGGCCGCCAAGTGAATAAGGCGAATTGTCCATCGGAAAGATGTGTTTGCTGTCCTTCCCACGGGATTCGGCAAAAGTTTATTTTATCAGC